TGTCCTTCTGAGGGACAAAACTGAATCACGGCTCACGCTATAGAAAAATATTCACGCCTCATGGCTAATTTTTTCGCATTTTAACTACTAACGGCSAATTTTTCAGCCGTTTCACGGCTCACGGTTAACCCCATTGAGACCCTCTTACCCACTTCCAAGGACTAATCCKATCAWTGGTCCCATCCACGAATGACGTCACATTTGTTTCAGCGAAATGCATCATGGTGTAGCTTATGAAAAATTCCGTGGTATTCACTGCCGATCGATGATACTTTAGAAAACATTCATTGCGTGCTTACAAAATTAGCCAATGTCTGAGAAATGTGATTTGTTTGCTGTTAGTAAACCATACTAAAACAAACGACATTTTGAAGATCATGGCTTGAGTTCCTATTTTAGTCARTCTCAGAACATTTATCGACRCATTAGTGCAGAGGACCATTGAAATTCACCCTTACCCTAACTACTTGAAAACATCTAATAATGATAATAAAAATGATTAGAACAGTAATAATCATTWGAATATATTGAGCCAGCTTACACTTTTTGTCCTTTAATTTTTGCTCTTCCTTTTTCTTCCYGTCTGCTTCTTTGYGAGRTGGAGCACTTTTAGGTGCGTCGATACTCTCACCCGTAGCGTCTTTCTCAGTTTCAATATCTTTGACACCAGATGGAGAAGAAGAGCCGTCATCATTTTCCTTTTCGTCGTCATCTTTCTTTGGCTTTGCTCGAGCTATTGTGCTCTTTTTGTCTAAAAGATGGATTTCTTCGAGTGGTGATTCCGCCCGTTTGTTAATGGATACTGAAAAAAATAAGTAGAAATAATATTCAAACCACACTTCGTAATGGAAATAGTTGCTGTAATTTTATGTTAACGGTCGAGTCCATTTTGTGCCGGTTTCTGCTTCCGTCAATCAAAACTCAAAACTGCTTGCGATATCATTACAACCGAACGATCTCAGATTATTCAAAAGAAACCTGGCCATGGGTGCTGATCTTTGATTGGCAGGAGCAAATTAAAACCACCAATAGCAGTTAGCCGTGCAATCGTTCAAAATGGAGCATATAGCTAAGTTGCGCATTTCTTCCGAATGGTATAGTGAGCCACAAAAATTGAGCTGGAGGTCTGAGCACAAGTAAATATTAATCTATTATATCTATTTATCTCTTCGGATTTGTCAGTGAAAGATATAAGCAACAAAAATGAACCAATTTATTGGAATGTATGTAAAATGGCGTTTTTCCAATAAATGGGTAGAAAATACGCCTATACGTGGTGTCTACCATGTAATTTACCAGATCCAGTAGTGATCCATATTTTCTRTATTGTCATGTCTGGAAACAAATCCTAACTCTATGCTTACACGCTAGCCAGTGAGATGCAAAAAACTCTCTGAAATTGTCGATTTTATTTTTAAATTTTAGGTCTGTTTGAATTCAAATTCGTGTTATTGCTTATGGAGATACCTGCTTCGGTAGTATAAACAACACTTAGCTCTTGACCATATTGTTTATAGATAACCTTCACATTGAAACTCCTAATCGATCGTCCGATCAACTGGAAAAGTACACTTAGCTATTAATTAGAGTTTTTAAGGATCTCTTTTTAACTCAATATAGACAATGTCTTTTTAAAGTTTTTGGACGAAAAGAATTCTAGGCAGTGTTCCAATCTATTTTGGAATACATTTTTTTGAGTTTGTTAAGCACATCATCGCTGAAGAACGTATCACTTACCATAATCGTCGTCTAATTCACTTGAAAAAGTATACGCCACACAGACAACTAAGACCAACAATGTTACCCCAACTTTTGACATTTTCTGAGGTTTGAAGGCCTATGACATCTAAAATGATAGACAACGTGCATTGTCAACTTCGATGGCTATGTCAATGGCACAAGTGTAAGATAATTGTCAGCTTTTGACACCAATCATTTGTTGTCAATCATCGATCCACATCACTCAAAAAAAAAAAACAGAATTTTATGAACTAAAAAATCTTAAGAGTCTCACCTGTGAAGAAATCATATACCGTAGAGGTTCTGTGAATTCCCCGGATAAAATCSGTTCAAGGATGAATGCGGGTGTTCGGGTATGACGTCACCCTTGAMTTGTTCAAAGGTGCTTCAAGATCAATTCTGATTGGCCAATAACAAAGAAACAATCAAAGTGCTTGATTTGCCGGGGTGTAAACAGCAGGTTGGAACGGATTGTCTCACTTSATTTGTATCAAAGGGCATATCAATAGTAGCACTTTTAAGCTAAACWATTCAATGTAACACCGAASAATGACAGCCAGGGTGTCRCTTTTTGATTGTTTTAAGTGGTGCTAATCATTGATTGATAATACTTTTTGATATTGAAGTTTAGTGTTTACGTGACCAAAAGTAAACATCAATGAATATCGATTAAATTTGTTTATGTTACATAAAAATGTCTGGTTTCTTTAAACTGTTTTTGAAATAATCTATTTACACTAAATGTTGTCAATATTTTTGTTTACCTTGAAAATAAATGCTTTTTGTTGTCAAGGCTTTCAATTGATGTATATGTGGATTCTTTTTTAAGTATCTTACGCCGCTACCTATTCTCCTTTCTAGTACCATAAAATTGAAAAAGGTAGGTAAATATTATATATTGACACTTCTCAAAACAGGTCTCATATAACTACAGATGTTGTTAAGACGGCTTATAACATCGAAGATTGAAAAAGCGTGTTTAAGGCTGATTAATAAATGTGCTCACGTGACCGGATTAGTTCCATAAAGCACTGATCGAATAGAATAATGGCAGCAATTTCTAGTGACTATTTAGGCTCACGTTCATGTTTCATGAGCCACTAATACGAGATTTTGAGAAATGAGCGGCTATTCATTCTTTCTTATTGAAAAAAAATGTGTTACGCAATGCATTATGGTCATGTGAATGAAAATGGATGCTGATGTCACGTGACAAGGCATAACATGATGTGAGCACTCCGCGCGACTCACAGTTCGGTGAGTTCGGTCTGTTTTGAGAAAGTCTCAAAAGTCCCGAAGTGCGAGTATTGTTTAACGGCATCAAAACATCAACTGGCTGTTCACGTTTCGAGCATTAACGAGGATAATTGCAGTGAGGTGAAATGACAATCTAGGTACAAAATTGAGTAAGCTATTTTGGGCAAACCTGAACAAGACCCCAAAAGAGTTTTTTCTGAAGGCGGAAAACAATGTAAGTAAAGCTTAGCTCCATGAGACCCAATCTACTTCAAGGGTTCAGATCGTTTGAGATTCAAGAGATATAATGCCGGCGGCCATGCTGGAGCAATAAATAATAGCTAGATATTAAGCTTAATGTTAAAGTTCATCCAAAATAGTCGCTGTCAGTGACGTAACTTAAGTCATATAGTGAAAACGAAGTCATAGACATAGACAGCACAGATTGTTTTTTATACATAGTTTATTTCTTTTCTTTCATAGAAAGAGTAATTAACCATATTTGGAATTATCAGTCAAATTTCTACTAATGATGAATTAATCAGATAGAAGAATTACATGAATTGATACTCGCATATTAATTAGTTGTCCAAAAATTCCTTTAAAACAAGGTAATATTGAGGGGTAAATAAACTAACTGAACCAAAAAACTAACAAAAAGCCCCTTTCACCACTTTAAATAAATTGTTACCAAATAAGACTGTATTGCACTTTGGATGTTTGCTGGTAAACAGTTAAGCAATCCACATTGCAGTAAGTCTAATTTTAATTTTAAGGATGCAAAAGTGCTATATGACTGTACATGAGACGAATGTTGGTTTTGAACCACAAAGATGACAAAGCACTTACACAGTACATGTTTGTAAACAGATTGAATAGCTATAGTACTATAGTATCATCGTAGCACAATTAAGTGTTTACACTATTTAAAATATGGCCATGGTGCCTTTTAACAAATACTATCACACTCTTCTAACTAGTCCATTTAGAGGTATTTGCAATTCATTTTGTTTACCAACTTATTTCGATAGCAAAGTTCTTTCATTAAGTTACAAAAGTTTATTTGCAGCAGATTGGAGGGCATCCTTGTTGGCACATATTTGGTTGGCATGTTGGAGGGCAAATAGCCGGTGCTGGAGGTGGTGGAGGAGGAGGAGGWGGTGGTGGGGCTTGTTGACAACAGGCAGGTGCACAAGATGGCTGGCATGATGGCATTTGAGGAGGTTGGAACACGAAGGGTTGTTGAGGTGCAACACCGCAGCAAGAAGTTGGACAAGTGGGGGCGCAGCTTTGTGGACCACATGAAGGTGCGCATACTGGAACTGGAGGTGGCTGGTATGGCGGAGGAGGAACGGGTGGGCCTGGTACGTAACGTGGTCKTGGAACCCAACGCTCCCTCATTGGTTGACATGGTGGTTGGCAGTTAGYTACTGAAAATAACAAAAGCAATGTTAAGAATGAAAATGGTAATGATGATGGTCAGAGGTTACTCCTCAWAATACATGAATTACCACTTGCCATGCTATATCCAATCTGCATGAATGGCCAAAAAAATGMAGCCAATTTTCAGTAATATGTACAATGTGACTTGACAATTTTAATCTATCGTCTGCACTAGAGGTTAACATATTCATTGATAAGTTGCATTGGGTGAAAGTTTATGACCATTATGAAGAATGAAATACCTGGAAATGGTCGTCTAAAACATGGTGGTGGACAGTTGATACCAGCTGAATAAAGATGTGAATATGAGGAAAACGAAAACATGAAATGAATTGAATTATGAATTCATGATGGTGATGACATTCATTGTGCAATGATAACTGGTGAGAGTGATTTTAGCAATATTGTGATGATGGTGTTTTACAGTGATTTTTACAGTGATGCTGATGATGCTGATGAATTGATTCTGTTTATTGGTGACAGTAAGAATGTTTATGATCATGATGAAGAATGAAATACCTGGAAATGGTCGTCTAAAACATGGTGGTGGACATTTGACACCAGCTGAATAAAGATGTGAATATGAGGAAAATGATAGCATGCTGAAGTCAAGTGAATTATGAATCAATGGAAGAATTCATGACAGAATGATGGTAATGATATACTGATAATAATTCTGGTAATGCAGTGATGGTGATGATGGTGTATTACAGAAATGAGTGATGAATTGATTGTGTTTGGTAATAGTAAGAATGTTTATGATCATGATGAAGAATGAAATACCTGGAGGTGGAGGTTTAACACATGGTGGTGGACATTTGACACCAGCTGAATAAAGATGTGAATATATGGAAAATGATTGCATGCTGAAGTCAAGTGAAT